CTGAAATTGCCCACGGAGTGAAATTCTGAAATTGCATTCTGCAAAAACTGACACACCATTGTCATTTAGCCCAGTAAGTTAGAAAGACATTCAAATATAGCTTTTATTTTGTCATCACAGACTCCAGCTCTATACGACACAAAATGTGACTATATTAATGCGTGATATGGTATACAAATAAAAAGGTGCCGCTTCTTACTCTTCACATTGGTGCAACTTTATACTTCAGAATGTAGACCTAAAAACTCATTTAAATTATAATATAAATGATACTCACTGCGCGACTTGTACTTTGATTTGATGTCTGATATTCTGATTGGCAACGGAGCATTTTTAGTGCAGCAAGTACAGCGGGCATAAAATAGAACGGTTCAAATGAAGTAAAAAAAAATTAAAAAAAATGAATAGAAATAGACTAATGACAAAGTAAGGAAAAATCAGGCATGCTGCTGGCTGCGGTGTGGCGGCCCAGCTGTCCCCATCAGCCAGCCAGCTGGGCAGCAGGCGAGGAGGCCGGGCAGATGTCTGGCTTCTGCTGATGGCTTGATGGCATTGACGTGTTCCCACAAAGCATCTTGATCCCATCAAATCAGCGCTTCCCAACAGAAAAAAAATTGTTCTGCTGGAAAATTGTTGACCCATCTATTGGCGGCTGATTGTTCAGCTGAGTGCTGTGCCTCCAGATGAAGAAAGAATGCAGCAAACCCTCTTCTTCCTGGATCGGAAGGGCCCAGTCCCTGTGTCCCTATGTCTAAAGGTATTTGTTGTCTTCTCTGTACCTTCTGTTCTCCTTTGATATTTCTATCATTGGCAAACAGACCCTCAGGTAGGACTGAGCCCATGAGGATGGCGCCAGCGCTTGCAGAGCAGCAGCCATAAGGGCACATTCTGATTACAGGCAAGTGCTGATTGAGAGCCCATCATTCTTCATTTGTGGGTAGCACAAACATCTCTAGAATTTCTGCTGAGTTTTCCATCCATTGTAAAATCTGATTGGACTTGATTCCTAGTCCTTACTTCCTAACTTTTACCAGTCCAGGATCCCATGAAAGCCTCTTTAGTTGCTTAAAAGAGGTCTCTGGTTATAATGTCCATCAGTCAGTGTTGTCCTGCTGGCTTACTTTCCAGTGCATTTGCTTTTGTTAAGTACCCAAATGAGCAATATCTGCTTGTAGGTATCACTAATGTGATTATATATTTTTTAAATTTTATGTTCGTTCCAGTATCTTCTTAGCTTGCTTCCTCATTCTTCTCTATCATCTCCTGCTTTTAAAGTGAAATGCATCTTTTCTATGATGCTGTTCCATAAGGATGTTGAATTCGATAAGAACAGTCACTACTATAGAGAATAGCTCATTTGTAATCATCTTCAGTGAGTTCCTCAGGTGTGAAACAAGAGTTGCATTTTCTCACCTGGGCTTTCCAATTGCTTCGAATAGAAAAGATCTCTTATGTCATTTCCAACCCTGACCTGAGTCTCATGACCCCACATTGCCTGGAAAACTACAGGCTCCTTTTACTACCGAGGTGCTGCCTTCTTTGTGCAGCTGTGAAAGTGTGCAGGGTTTGAAAGATATTCAGTAAAGCCTTGGCACACTGGGCCTGGGAAGGAGACTTCAAAGCTATCACGGCACAACCCATCCCTCTCCCATCTGGTGCAGCGACGCTGCTCCTTATTGACTGGGTTAGAATTAGAATTGATTTTCATAGAACGGCGCTGTTGATCCTCTTGGATTGCATTGCTTTCTTCTCTGGCTGCTTGTGCACTTTTCAGCAAAGCTGGAGATTTCTCTGCCACGTGTTTGGCTGTGCCCAGAGCTCCTGCTGACGGTGGGAGTGATGGGGAAGGGGCTGCTGGCACCGGGAAGCAGGTGATGAAATACTGTACAAATCCTTCCTAGTAAATCAGATTTAATTCTTTTATGCTATTACAAGCTCAATTGAAAACAGTGCAAAAAGTCTTAGTAAATCTGTCCCCTAGGTGCCTTATGTCTGTATTTATTCTGTCTTTATAAATTCATTCATTTACCCCGTTCAGTTTTAGCTTCTGGGTGTTAGTTTTTATCCAACATGATTTAATTTTATACTTGGGATTGGGTTTAAAGCTTGCACCATGAACTAAATAAGTTCATTAAATGCTCTAAGTTTCTCTGGTTACAAGTATAAATTCATCAGCATGGAAATAATGACATCTTAAACCTATTAAATTTAAAATATCTTTATGCTCAACCCCGGAGCTCAGATATGCCAGCCAATGGTAATCAAATGCCACCCGACCACTCAAAAATTTCCAGGGAAGAGAAAATGAGCTGGCTTGAGTATGCCTGCGAGGCAAATCAGGCTGTCAAAATCCTATCATTCTTGGGAGAAATTTACATAGCTCATATTAAACACACCGGTGAGACTGGGAACCCGGAGTAATTAAATGCCAGGGGGAGGATGAGGCCCTGGGAGGTGAGAGGGGTGCCGGGGGGGGCAGTGGGGCTGGGGAAGCACCGAGCTGCGCACCCACAAACTGCAGCAAAGCGCTGCGGATGCCCGTGGTGCAGGAGGAGGTGAGCAGATGGGGAGCAGCACCTTTTTGCGTGCTCAGCCCTCGCTGCAATTCCGAATCCTCAGCCCCAGAGCAAAGCTGCACTGCGGTTTGGTTGTTTCGTTTGGTTTTCCGAAAGGCGACCGCTTCGGTTTAAGGCGGATAGATCCACACTGTGCGGAGTGTGAGGAGCTGTAAGCCTCCCCTTATTGACGTGACATATTGTAATGGCTTCTTTGGTTACCTATCAAGTTACTGTGTACTTAGAAAGCTTTAATCTGTAGATTATTTACTCAATAGACTGTAACGGCTTCACATAATAGCCCATAACGGCTTCCAGCAGTTATAGCCTATTGTGTCAGGGAGTTGGTGTTGATTTTTCCACCCTAAATCTAACACAAAGCATCTGGGATAATATATGGCATTGTGCTGGCCTAATAGGAAGTGCCTGCGCTCTCATTTTGTTCAATTCTTTTGCTTTTAAAAAGTCAATATCAAGAAAAGTGTTTGTTTTCCTAAAAGCACAGGAGGAATTTTGTTACTCTCAGTGCTTCTATGGTCAAAAGTGGGCAGAAAGCTCAGAGATGGTGAAGGCTGAGCGTGCATTGCCAGCATCCTGCCATGGTCATCAATGACATCAATGAAAACATAGAATAAAGAACCACAGCATCACTAAGGTTAGAAAAGACTGCTAAGATCCCCAAACCCAACCCACCTCCACCATGCCCACCTCCACCATGCCCATAACCATGTCGTCCAGTGCCACATCCCCATGGTTCTGGAACACCTCCAGGGATATACAGATGCAATATCTTCAACACATTCTTAATGTTTTGGGTTTGTTTTTTTTTTTTTTTTACTTTTAAGATATTTGGCATTTAAAGGACAATTTCCACCAGGTGAAAACATCTCTAATTTTGAGCCCAACTGCTCCAAATTGATTTGATTTCATTTAAAGCCTAGGTAATTAATTAAAACCACTTGACAATGCCCCTTTAATATTTAACCAAAGAACACACTGTGCTCCAGCTGAGCTGCTAGATGTTTACGTCTTATTAGCAGGCTTCCCAAAGCTTGGAGAGGAGGATTTCCGTGCAAGTTCTCACCCCACCTTTTAATTACACCTAAACAGCTCATTATGGTTCTACTACAAACTTTGCTCACGAGAACATCCTGCAACATGCATTTAGCATGTACCGACAGTGCATCCCTACACACTGGGTCTCATACATCACTCTATTTTTACTCACTGGAAGATCTCAGGAAACCTCCCTGCTCCATTTGGGGCAGAGCGAGCACCAACGCTCGTTTCCATATTAATTGCAAACATGAAATAAATGCTCTGTTAAGACACGCATTCATACCAAGCTATAATTAAGCAATATGTAGACGTGCTCCCAGTACTCAATAAGCTCAGGGAAACTGCAAGTAGCTGGGGCTGTGGGCGGCATGGGGAAGGGTGAGAATGGCTTTCCCTGGGGGATGTTTCACCATATGCTTCTCCCCATAAGCTGTGCATGCAACGGGGAGCCACGCTGATGCTCAGGGCTCCCATCCCAGCCCCTCTCCCACGCTCTGCTTTCCATCCCTGCTGCACTGTCCCCATCCTGCTCCACACCCATACCCCACTGCAGCTCCCATTCAGGCATTTATACAGGGTAGTAGAGCCCTTTGAGCCACTTTTTTGCATCTCCCTGGCTGCAGGGGCAAGGTGCTGGTGTTGCTTGGTCAGACGGGGGTGGGATGGATGCTCAGCATCCTTGGGGGGGTTTCCACGTGGAGCAGAGAGAAGACCCAGTGCAGGTTGCAGGCGGATCGAGCCTCCCTCCTTTGCTCAACCCGGGGGCTGAGATGATAATTTGCTTGCACTTGAGTAATTTCTGAAAACATAAACAACATCTTGCCATGTGTTGGCCTTTTTCTGTTTCTTGGGATTGATTTCAGCCCGTTGTGACAACAGAGGGATTCTGCAAGAAAGCATTGGCTGAGGGAGTGAGATCATTAACGCCAGCTCACGAGTCCTAATTGCCCCAAATGAGTTACACACTGAAATAGCCTGGCCCAGTTATCAGCCAGAGCATCCCTGAAAGCCGGGCACTGAATGCAGAGAAGGCTGCATCTGAAGCACCATTCTCAGCCCTCTCCCAGTTGCTTTTCTGAACAACTCCACCAGGATTTATACCGTTGATGTGAGATTATTCCCTATACTTCTATTTCTTGTTCAAATGTATAGAAATTAATTTTCTGGTCATAATTTCAGTACCTCTGGGACATTAGCAGGATGGAAGTAAAAATAGAACATCATTACGGTGTCAGGTAATGCGGATGAGTGTGACTAATAACCTGAGTGTCATTGATTTAATAATCTAATAATGTCTCTGCACACTCAGCTCGCAGACTCACAGTTTGCAGATCAAGATTTAAGCCCGGCTGCAGCTGCAGATCGGAATCAGTACCTCTGCTTTAGGGCTTGGACCGATGATAAGCAACCTGCAGCTGGTTTTCCAAGATGAAGGAGTGGGAAGGAAACGGCTGGTGTCTGCAGGTGTTGCATTCCCATGGGTAACAGCAGTGGCAGGTCACAGCTCCCACTGGGGACATTTCCCAAGCTCAAAAAGAAACGCTCATCAAGCAGCAAAGGTCTGGCAGCTTCCAAACAGCTGCTGGCCCATCAACAATGTCACCTAAAAATGCAAAGGAAAAGAGCTCTAAGGTTAATTATGACACTTTCTTAGAAAGGTGTGTTCCACAGCCTTGGAACGAGAAGGAAGGGAGGGACTGGTTGGACAGGCAGTCATTGCCCCTTCCCTGGCATCCCCAAGGGCAGGGTGACAGATGAACCCACACTTCTTTCCCTTGCCACTGTGTGTGAAACTGCACAGAGATGCCCACTAATGAGACATGACATCATGTTTGTTATAATTCGGGTGTAACAGGGACTATTGACCTTCTCAAACAGTGTGTGAAAATCCTGTCTGGCTAAGCATCTTCAGTGCAGTAAAATTTGCCTCTACCTCGGTGCCAGCCTCTTCTCACAGGTAACAGCAACAGGACAAGGAGGCGATGGCCTCAAGTTGCTCCAGGAGAGTTTCCAGTTGCATATTAGGGAAAAGTTCTCAGAAAGAGCAGTGAGGCACTGGCACAGGCTGCACAGGGAATGGTGGAGTCACTGTCCCTGGAGGCGCTCCAGAACTGTGGAGATGTGACACTGAGGGATGTGGTTATGGGCATGGTGGGGTGGGTTGGTGTTGGACTTGGGGATCTTAGTGTTTTTTTTCCCAACAATTATTCTGTGATTCTATTCTATGATTCTGTCTGGGGCTGCCCTGAGGCACCTCAGGAGGCAAGTGGGTTTTAAGCACAAGCTTTGACCCCCGGAAAACCCTTTGCAAATAATTCCACTTTTTCCAGACCATGCCCCAAAGGCCTCATTGGTCTCCAACCCCTCTTCATCTCAGACATATTTATTTGTTTCCACTTAACTTCTCCCAGATAAGAGGAAGACTCCCCAGGGAGTTACCATAGAAACACTCGATGCAGACCTGGCAAGATCAGGGTAGCAGAGCCCAGAAAGATGGTAGAGATTATGAGAAATTTCACAACCACTCTCCAAGCGCCATTCCACTGGAGGATGAGCAAACCCAGGACTTAAAATAGAAAACATCCCACATGGTCACCAACAGAGTGGCTGCAAATGGCTCCTCTCTCTGGGGACACTCAGTGCCCTGAAGCCACAAACGTCCACTGGAAACTTTGAAAGAGCTCTCAGGGAGTTCCCATATTGTCTTTTCCAGATGCCTCGCTGCAAGCAAGCCCTGCAGCAGTTCTTTGCCGCACTCTGGGAAGCCCTGCTCCATAGCCATGGTCCATTTCTAATTAAGAAATATCCATCTGTGGTAATTAGCTTTCTACTTGCTGGGGGTCTCAGTTGTGCCCTTTGGGTTTTCCCAGCAGCCAGGCATTGGAAGGGTTCTCTGACAACTTCCCAGCCTTAGCAAAGCCCTGCTGACTCTCACACCGTCTGCACAAGTGTTTAAAAAGCACCCAGGTCTTGGCTAGTGCCTGGTGACATTGAGAACCCTTTAAGCAAGGAAATGTCCTTCTGCATAATGGACTGAGAATGATGGGATTAAATGCAAGAAGGAAATGTAAGAAGTCAAGGAGCTACCTGCCATTAACAGCTGTCTGGTGTCTCGTTCAGGGCGATTTACCACTGCTTCTTCTGTCCAAGCTGATCATTCAATAAAACACTATTGTGAAAGCAGATGTCATTGGAAGCACTTTTTGATATAGAAAATATTAATTTTCTGCTATTCAACAGTGCACCCAATTCCATTTTTTCTATTAAACTCTTCCTAGACTTTGAACAGAAGACAGTAAGAAATTAAGAGTCATGGTTTTCCAAGTGAGCCAAATTTTTGGGACAGTTACTGTGCTTCCTCCTGCCTGATGCTCATACACAGAGATATTGAGAGCCATTAGAAATAAATTATCCTTAACTGCAAAATAGAAGGGGATTCATCAACAATATTGATTTCTCTTTCACGTACGTGGAGTTGCTTTGGCAATTAGCCTTGGAATCACTGTTTCTTTCCTGTAAACCAAATTTTAGTTGCAGAGTTAAAGAAAGGAAATTGGGAAAGGAAATATTGGGAAAGGAAAAGGCAATTTGTAAGAAAAAGCATACACTGTACCAAACACGTGCCTCTGCCTCTAAATGTAGGCTGGGAGGTTGGCAGGGCTGGGTGGAGTCCTATGGGGGTTTATGAGTACATTTATCTTAATTGCATTCATGTGGCTGTGGAATGGCTTGATCTGGTGATAACTGATATCTGATTTTTATGCGTATTTCTGACAGATGTGAAGGACACACAGAGCAGGGAATGGATTGGATGTATGGATGGAGTTGTGGAAAAGATTCTTAATACTGTAACATAGTCAGGCATTAAATCTCAAAAAGAAACAGGCAAATTATGCATCTAACTACTTATCATGTAAACTTAGAGTGAATGTGAATGATACTCATTTCTTGGTTTACGAGCACCAGAGAGGCATGTCATAAAAGGGAGAATAATATGATTAAAATTAATGTAAAATACTATGGGAAGCATAACTTTCAAGTTTCATTTTTGCAATGCTGGAACTTCTAGATCTAGCTAGAATAAAATAATCTCAGAGCACATCGCTTTCCACTGTAACTACACTCACAGAAATTAATGCTCCTGGAGATGAGCACTTGCTTGAACAACAGCACTGCAACTGATCACTAACTGGCTTCAGCATCACTGCAAATACCCAGCAGAGCCCCACGCTCTGCTGCCCCACGTTCACTATGTGGTAAGCTAAGCTCCTATGCAATAAACACAGTGAATAAAATACAGAATTTCTCTGACCATAAGATCATGATGGTAATCCCTGGAATGGCAAAATTCAGGAAAGAAGTCACACTTCAGGTTGGATATTAGGAAAAAATTGTTCTCCAAAACAGCATTGCTGCAATGGCGCAGGGCTGCCCAGTGAATGGTGGAGTCACCATCCCTGGAGGTGCTCCAGAACTGTGGGGATGTGGCACTGAGGGACGTGGTGATGGGCATGGTGGGGTGGGTTGGGTTGGACTGAATGATCTCAGTGCTTTTTTCCAACCTTAATCATCCTATGATTCCATGACTAGCCCATTAACACCACCCCAGCCAGCCGTCCTTCCTACAAGCCATTTGCTCACTTGGGCTGCCGCGCACTGCTCTTCCAATTCACCACAACACATCATTCACTAGTTCTATTATTCTGTGTTAAATTCACTCATACAGGTTTTGTAAACTTACTTCCAAATTTTTATCTTGATTCTGTTCTCCTAGAGATTATTTATCCTTAATTTCCATGCTGATCTATAAAAAAATGCCTAAAACATGCAGCTCTAAACTGCCTAAAACTTTTCAGCTATACATTAGCCGAACCATGCAGATTATTACAGAAAGCATAGCTTGGAAAATCCCTAAGCTACTGTAATTAACCTATTTATACCTTAATTTTCTTATAAGATGCAAAAGAGTTCAAAAATTTAAAGAGTGTCTGTGCTGTTTCCAGCTTTGTGTTGGAGTTCAGGCCGTGCCTCCTCTGCTATGCACAGCTCCTGCCATGTATTGTTTAATCATTTTGAAGATGAGACGATTGCATCTGTGACCCACGAGGGCTTGCCAAGCAGCTCATCACATCTGCAAACCCCCGAAGCTCATGTGGAGAGTTCCCAGACCTTCTCTTACATATTCTGAAAAGAACTACTGCTGTTTGTGCCTCCCATCAGAGCTGCTATTTCATTTCCAAGCGGATGTAAATTAACACATTTTATTAATCAGACAGCATTAATGTCTGAGCAAAAAAATTTCAGCCTCCTCACAAAACCGTAGCATAGCTGTTATGAGATCCCCCTGGCTTTGCTCATGACCAGGAACAAATCTTTTTTTCCAGTCGCAGACATGCTTGGAGGCTAACAGAAACAAAGCCCAAGAGAAGCACGTGCAAAAGGACAGAAATATTTTCCCACATACCTGCTAAGAAAATGCAGCTTACGTGGTGCATTGAAGTCACATTTCCAGTAGGATCAATCTTGGTTGTAAAGCATCTTACTGGAAACAATATCAAAAGGCGAATCAGTCACACATGAAAGTAAGACAGGATATAGGAGTCTGTCTCTGTAGGACACCATGGAATTCTTTCACTCTCACTACATATATATAAAAATATTTTTTGCCAGACCGCTCCCCCATCCCCTCTAAATTATAATAATGTCAAAATGTAAAATGTTTGGGTTTTTGTGTGCACCTGGACTTCTGGATGCTCACCAATCCCACCCACAGACATGAGACCTCATGCCTGACTGATTTCAGTGTGGGTTGTCTGAAGTGTTTTGGAAGATCACCAGAATCCCAAGAGATTTATCCTCATAAGCTTTCTGGATTTAATAGTGACAACTTCTACTGGGCAAATTAGGCAAGTCAATTTTACAGCAAAGGCAAGTCAAATATGCTATAATTAATTCAAATTAACACACCCACAAGATTCTGAAGCCTGTGATCAGTCAGGTGGGGATGCCTGCAGGAATATCCAAATAGAAGTCATTATTAAGAACCTTGAGACTAAACATTTCAGAGGAAGCCAGAAATAACCTGCACAAAAACAGGCTGGATTGCAGGAAACCAAATGTTATCTTTCTGTAGAACTTTACTATTAGCAGTGACCAGCAAAGCGAAACATTTCCTGTAAATCTGGTTCTTTAACATTGCATTTAATTGTTCAGTATTCAGCCTCTATGGAGGACTACTGGAGTGCATCTCGCTCCACATATGGTCTATAATAGGAAACGATACCTCTGAAACTCTGAATAGCACAATGCCATTCAGGAAATTAGAAAATATTACGTTTTGTAGTTAGAACCTTCACACATCACTTGCTGATTTTGTTCCTTTATGAAAGCACAGTGTCCAGCATGAGTATGTACTGTGATCAGGCATCGATGAGAGAACCAAGGTGAAAAAAGCTTATCCTGAGACAACAGTTATTATTTAGATGCAGGGGGAAAAGAAAACAGTTTTGACGTTAGAATGAGAGCGTGGACTCATCACTTCAGCATTATATTTCATGCCCTGGGCAAAGCTGCAGGAAATGGAGACCAGGGAGGGATTTTGGATCATAAGGATGTGGATGGCTCATAGGCCATCACTGGAGGATGGCCAAGATCTTTTGAGCTGTCCATGGGCTACTGAAAGGAATAGAGACTGAGCAGAGATTCATGTGAGAAGAACCATGCTTGTTTGTCGGGGCTGGACACAGGCTGCCCACTGCTTCCCCTCCCATCCCCATAGCAGGCAGCAGAAGGGCACCACAGAGGAAGTAAGCTCAACAACGAGGGACACATTTTCTACAGGCTGTACTGAGACACGACATGTCCAGGAGTGATGCTGAACACCATCACTCTCCTCCAGCTCACTTCCCAGTTGCCTACTTACATGAACATTTGCCAGCTGTCAAGCTCTTGCTCAGTTCCAGTGAAAGCTCCTGGATTTTCTCCATTCCCGGTGATTATGTTGAGCTGCTGGGATCAGCTCCTGCTGATACTGGAAATGCCAGATCACCCCTCTTTAAATCCCTCCTCCTTGCTAATATGAGCAACACATCCCCAACACAGGCAGAATGCTTTTCAGCAGGACACACAGATGATAGAATCATTAAGGTTGGAAAAGTCCACTAAGATTATTTAGTGCAACCATCACCCCATCCCCACCGTGCCCACTAACCATGTCCTTAATGCCACAATGACAGCCACCTCCTCGGTACTGGCTCCTAAAGTTGAGCAGAGGTTCTTTGTAGCAGAAACAGCTCTCAGAGATGCTAAGGGCTCACACCACTCATGAGAGAGTTTGTACAGATGTAAAATCTTCCAGCGCTGTCTAAATGAGAAGAAAATAAGCCATCTGGCCATGGCCAACAAGCCACAAGCCATGAGAACGGCCAGTTTGTATCCTCCAGCCCACTATCCTGTCTCTGACTCAACAGAGCTGTTGATGCCTAAAGAAGGGGTTCAGACCAGGGCAGACACACAGCCTGTGTTCTCTGACTGTCTCCAGGGAGCTATGCTTAGTGACTTTCTACGCTTGAGGCGACTTCCATGTGTTATCACCCTTGCTGTATCGCTCTTCCATGAACTCGTCTAATTGCCTTTTGCATCATTTAAGCTTTTGGCAACCAGTCTCCTGTGGCAGTGAGTGCCACAGCTGAACAACATATTGTGATAGGAAACAGCTCTGCTGTGTGCACTGACAAGTACCCAAGCAGCTACTTTGGGTTTCCCACCCCGGGCCAAGCACTGTGTGATGGTGCTCTGCTGTGCACACCCCCACAGACAACCATGGCACTGTCTTCAAGCTGCAAGGCAAGCCCAGCCTTGGGGTCTCGCCTGTGTCTCCTTGTCCCAGTGCCAATTTCTAATGGTAAGAAATAATCATTAGAAGCAGAATGAGACCAGGACCCCATGACAACTAGTAATAAATATGAATGGCTGGAATTTAGGCATGGTCCAAGTTCTACTTTCTCACAGACCTACAGCTCAGCAGCCACATCTGCTTTACCTGAACACCTTTGACCCATTCTGGCCATCAGACCAGAAAATTTTGCCAAAGATGTGGAGATGCAAGATCTATCTAAGCACTTAAAGATTCCTCTATTCCATTCTGTTGCCTTTTTTTTTTTTTTTAAATCATTTTCTCCTAAAGCTCAATTTAGCTATCACAGTAGAGATGTGGTGTTTTCATGCGAATCCTTAAATTTACAGACGTGCTGAGCTGAAATGGGATTTGCAGCGAAGGCTTCCTTGCTATTCCTCCTGTCTCTTATATACCATGCAGGGATATGCTGGTGGAGGCAGCCAGAAATAGCTCTGAGACTTCCAAAGTCAGAATTGAATCCTGGGGTACCGAGAATGGGTGAGAACCAGCACAGCGCAGCCCTGGTCTGAGCACTCACTCAGGACTTCCCAAAACAAGGTTGAGATAACAAAGCCAACACTGGTGAATGCCATCACCCTGCAGCTAGTATTTTCTGCCAAGCTGGATGAACTGATATTTTCTGTTAAGAAATTGTTTTGCTGAAAGTTTCTGCCTGGCTCTCTGAAGCACACAGCACCCCAGTGCAGGAGCACAGTGCTGCAGACAACACACCTCTGCACTGTGACACCCAGCAGCTTTGCTCCCAAACAGCACCAGCCAGGCTGCAAGAGTTAATGACAGTGTGTTGCTGATAGTGTCAAGAGAGTTGCTGGGTCACTGTGTCTTTAGCCTGATTTAAACTGGTAGCAGCCTGGATCTCATTTTTAATTACATTTTGACTGTAGCTGTCTGGTTATTTGTATAAGGAAAAATATTGGCATGCCAACCAGGTCATAAACTGTCAGGCAGATCATGTAGAGGAAAATGCCATGTATGCTACTGTCACAAGCATCATTCCTAATAACAATGCACTCTGTGAAATATAATATTTAGCAAGTTGTGCTTAAAAAGCAGATTGCATTTCTGATATCCCCTGCCAACGAGGTATTTAACAGAGTTGTGCTGGCTCTAATGTCCCTTTTGCATCCTTTCAGAGACAAGAATAGATACATCACCATCGTGACGTTAGCAAACTTGGAGACTGCAGACACTTCATGAAATAAATTGGGACTGGCAGGCTAAGTACTCGAATTGGCGATGCAGGAACCACTGGGCCTGTCTCTCTACTGACACACTATTGCTGGGAGAATCGACAATGAACCTCGCTGCCTTCAGCATTAATGACTGCAGCTTTGCAGCAGCGTAAGCTGGGGATACGGCTGCAGCATCGCCTCCACACAGCCCAGCGTGAGGCAAAATTAAGAAGTGACAGCAGTGCCTTGGCAGGTGATCTTATAGACATGCTGCCATCCTGCTATTCAGCCTGCCATGTGCCTCACCTTCTTTAAATGTGCTTTTTTCCTCCTCTCTGGATGCCTCAAACGCACTGCCGCATCCGCTTGTCAGAGCGCTGTCATGAGCAAAATGACACATCAGCTCTGAGGCTCTTGACCTGATCTTGGACTCGATGAAAGAATGGTGAGAAAACAGAAATAGCTTATGTTAAGGAGTAAAAATAAAATAAGTAGCAAGAATGACTTAATTGAAACAAGAAACTGAATGAAGATCCATTAATGTATTCCTAAGGGATCAGGAAGAGGATGGCACTTCCAGATATGGCTCTAAAGCTAATCCAGAAGCATCATCTCTCCTCTGGGGATCCAGAGGACGACGTCACCTGTCTGTGCTGGAGGCACCTTGGGAAGTGCAGACCTGCTGGACAACCTACCACCTGCAAAAACAACAGAGAAAACAACTCAATGCCCTATGTGTAGCTCAGCAGTAAGAAGATGGGAATGGCCAACAAATTTCACAGCAAGTCACAGCAAACCAACCTACTTCCCTTCATAGCAAGATGATTAGTGTGTAGGGAAAGGTAGCAGTGGACGTCATACATCTTGGCACAGGAAGGCTTTTGACACCATCACATTTAACTTTCACATAAGACAAATGAGAAAATTGGAACTAAATGAAATTTCCCAACTTGTCACTATGGGCAACAGGATTGTGGTTCAGCACGACCTTCCTAAGTGGGAGAGATGACCCAGTGTAGTGCTGGTAAAGTTCAGGCAGTCTGTAGAACACAACTACACAGCAGTTTGAGACTCTCTGAAGCCATACTTTTTCTCTTCGAATGGCAGAGCAACATCTGGGTTTCATCCTAGTCTCACTTTCATGCAGTTGGCAGCGTGGCTTGCTTCTGCTTCCGTGCTATGTGCTCCTGAGGGGCCTGGGTGCCAGCCTTCATCCCTGACCCACGAGCCATTAACTGGTATCTGCAAGGAAAACCAACTCCTGAAAAATCTGAAGTTCTTTCCCAAATTTTAACAGCACCCAGATATTTTTCCAGTTTTTCAGTGGGGGTATTTTTACCCCTTAGCATAATCTTGCCTTTAAAACATTACAAACCACATTTCAATAGATAAATAATTTAAAGCAAAGAAAATAAATGCTCCATCAAAGAGCCCAGCTGTTCAGCCATCCGTCGGGGCACGCTATGCTGGGATAGTTGGGGGCTGAATGCAGACCTGATTGCCCATTAAAGAGACGTACATTTCACGTTGCTGCAATCAAGGCTCTCTGGAGAATTTTGCATTGTGCCCACATGTAATATGTCAGATACTTGCCAGCAGGGGAAACACTGTAAGAAGTGAATGAGTTTTCCTCTGTTCAGTGACATTACTAATGACTCATGCAGGATTATGGGTAACAAACCTTTGAAATGAGAGGTTGAGTTGTACACTACATTATACATCTGAATTTCATGGTATATTAGTGACAGTGATTGGTAATACAATATGATGGGAAATTGCTAACATCAGAGAGAAGTTAATATGACGCACTGCGATTTCTCAAAGAGTTCCATACTTTTTCCAGCACCACCCATAATCTGCTCATTACTGCTCTGCAAAGAGCAATCCCTCTCATGGAGTGAGGGGCACCAGTGCTCTGACAGCTGGTCATAAATTTGAATAGAAGATGTGCAATCTGAAACGTTCCTGTTTCCATGGATCGTTACCCAATTGTATCTCCTCTAAGAAGCAGGTGATTTTTTAACATCCTGCGACAGTTTGTTTCTGCTGATATTTTCTCTCTCCAGATAAATCTGATGCCAGCTCATGTCTTACAGTTTTTCTTCCCATTCTTGGTCTATTAAAATGGCTGATACAGTCTGTACGCACGTTAACTAAACACCGGTTAATGGAGTGTAACTAAGAAGAATGAATATATTTACAGAAAGAGTATTTCTAGGCATTAAAATAAGCGTACAGTTCTTAACACAAGACATTACGTTTACAAATGTAACCACAAATTTATGTTTATAGACTGGCAAACCCTGTGGCTATGAGTGTCCTCTCAGTTATTCCCACTTCAAACAATCTAAACAAATTTTTTTTAACTCTTTACCTGATAATAACCTGGAATATTTTGTAGCTATTTTACAATGCCAGTAAATGACCATCTGGACTTCTCTGTTTTTAGATTTAGTTATTGCTGGGGGAAATGGGTGAATTTACTGGAGTGATGGCACTGAAGGCCGAAGCCAATGAACCCATATTGTAGCTGCACCAAGACTGTCACCCTCCGGAGGGGACTTGAAATGATAAGTCATTTTCAAGACAAAGTTAGCAACACCACTTTGTGCCTTGTCCATATTCACCCCAACGACATTCATTTCTTCTTCTTCTGTTTCTTCACTTCTGCCTGCAATGGTGGAAGTGGCCAAGTGAAATGTTTCTAGCTATTCCAAGGCTATTTCTGAGTCCAGCCATGACTGTACAGAAACACTCCAGGTTTAACAGCAAAAATAGTTCAGTTTTATGGTTCACTCATCTCTGACGCTGACCTGCTGACCAGTAGCAAAAATAATCTCTGCTGTTACGTTGCCCTGTGGAGCTGAAGGGATGAACAAAAGGTCACTTATAAGCTTCAGTACCATCAAGTGCCTCAGTGCTTGCATCCATCAAACCTACTTAGGAGCACAGGGTTGATCCAGTAGAATCTTGAAGTCAATGGCTCTGAGGCTGAAGCACAGTCACCCCTCCTCTGTTTATCCACTCCTCTTCTACCTCAGGTCTGTTCTGTGCATTCACATCTCACCCAAACAAATACCTCCCAGAGCTGTTCAGGCAAGATGTCCAACACAAAAGAACCTTCACACGTCCTAGAGACTTCTGGCAATACCTTGAGTAGATGAAGACAGAACTACACCTCCTGCTACTGATACAGCTCAGCTCACACGCCAAAGGAATGGATTTAGAGACTTTTTTTTTTTTTTTTGGTTTAATCTTCCTTTTGTTGGAGAAGCTTTTGGATGGATGTCCAAAACTCCTTGTGTGGCAAGTCCACTGAAAACCACAGCTGAGATCCCACCAGTGGGTTGGACAGGAACTGGGTGATAATTATGACAAGTGAATGGAAGACAGTATCTCCCTCCAGCATTAAATTCAAGCCCTGACCTTTTCCAACATAATGACTAACTCAACCTTTACATAATAATGTGTGTGATATTTGGAGAGTATAACATATGTGTCATTTTAATTAATTGAACAGAAATAGATTTACAGAAGAGAAATGAATTAACCAATCAGCAATCACCTTTCTATCTATTCCGTGTCAGAATAATTAGTTTATTCTCCTAATCTCTTGACTCCTCTAGAAATCATAACCTCACTGACCTCCTTGAGAATAGGAGCTCATTTGAATAGTGCCATAATTGTGCTCTGGGTGCGTTATCATCCAGTTTCATTTTTATTAAGGTAATCTTATCCCTTCTTATTATGCCTGTCTCTGACAGCCTGACCGAAACCTCAGCAAAGACTGCTCACTAACAGGAGTGTTCTGTGGATAAAGACAGTGGCAAAAGAATCCTTCCTCCTAGAAGACGGGCTGGTTTTGTTGACTGGAGGATCAGCAATAACTTCACTGCCATTCTGTCTGTCTGTTCAGACATGTGTCCTGACATTGGCAGTAGCAGATTGCTACCAACTAGCAAATGCTTAAACAAGATCACAATTTGTTCCAGAATGATAAAATGACCCTACAAAGTGAATTACACTGTGAAAAATAAATGTAAAATACTGTGTAGATGCACAAATGATTATTTCATTATCTGGCCAATGTATGAGCGACAGATACAAATTGTTCCAATCATAGCGTGATGAAAGAGTAATGAACAATGGGTTCTTGAATGAGCACAGGAAGAAAATAATGAATTGCAGTTTAAATGAAATCAGGAGTCAATGGACTGGATCACAGACTGTCCTTCAGATGTAGGAATTCTGCATTAGTTAAACACTGTCATTTGAAGAAACGTCCTTTAAGAGAAAGGAATCTAAATGGGTCAGAAAAAGAGGCAAATAAGACAAGCCTGGCCACTGGCTTGTTTTTGCAAGCTGGATTGGAGCATTCCTATTCCTGCTGCTTTGCTAATTCACATGGCAATCTGCAGATTTGTATCTTGCACTCAGCAAAGATAACAGATCATTTGTAATTCTGCCTTTCCCCTACTTTAACCTTGTTTCTTCTCTACTACTTGGTTACCTTTAGGTGACATCTCTAGAGATCCCTTGCCCATCACATAATTTCTGCATGTAATGAAGACCAAGATAGCAATAGCTTCTGGGAAGGAAAGGGTCAGCGAAGTTGAAATAACTCATGGCAAAGGCCCCTTTATTTATGTTTGTTGGAAGTCTATCTGCAATAGCTGAATTTCTCTTCTTCAATTGTGTTTCATACCAATAAACCAAGAATTAGGATTTCTAACATTATTTCCACAGATACGTGTCATGTTTATGCATCACATCTATCTGTCACGTTACACAACATCTTGTTAGATCTACAGAGCAGCGGCATTTCTCTTGTGAGTGCAGGACATCTGACCATGCTTGCTCACCACACAGAATTTCTTTACACTCTAATAAGACATCTTCCTCTGCAAGCAGCCTGTAGAAACCAGCTGGTTTCACAGGCAGGGCTGAATGAGTGACACAAACCAGCTCTGTCACTGTCTATTGCTGCTCTACTGCTGCCACATCCAGAGCCCACACTGCTCCCCAGCAAAGGGCACAGTGCTGTGGGCTGGGTGTCCCCAAGGGACATCTTTTGCTGCCTTCTGCTCAATAACCTCAAGACATTTGGGTCACAGAGTCATCAATTTTAGGAAAGACCACTAAGATCATCTAGTCCAACCATCAGCCCATCACCACCATGCCTGCTAAACCACTTCACTCATTTGAAAATGAGTTGCAATCCCGGCTCTGCTGAACACTGTCAGAAGACAGAGAGTGATGGCAAGAAAATGTCCAACTGTCAGCTCACTGTAGAGCAGAAACATGTGGCACCTTACCTTTGTGGGTGAAGAGGCTCGGGGTGAGCGCCGACATGCGAGAAAGATGGCATCACTGCCCACTCCTGGCTCAGGTCCCTTCTGTCCAGTTTGATAACAAGTAACACCACTCTGGTCTTGAAGAGCTGGATATTAGGAAATATTTCTTCTCTAAATGAATGATGGTGCAGTGGCACGGGCTGCACGGGGAGTGGTGGGGTCATCATCCCTGGAGGTGTTACAGAAATGTGGAGATGTGGCACCAAGGGATGCAGTGATAGGCACGGTGGTGATGGAGTGGGGTTGGAATTGGTGATCTTTTCCAGCACTAACGGTTCTACAGTTCCAAGAGGCATCAGTCAGCTGGGGTGCTTCTTCAGGATGAAAAGTGAGCAACAGTGTCCATGCTGTAGTTAAAAGTGGGGAAAAAACCAAACACATTAGATTATTTTGAGTCTGGAGATATGACCTGACATGAGCACAAGGACAACCAGGCTGACCCGTGCTCTTGGTGCCATGGCTGGAAGCCCTGAGATGAGGCAAGGCTCCAGCCCTGTGACTCCAGCAATGCCTGCACAGAGCCCAGAGCTGCAGTGCAGAACAGCCAGCTCCTCCATGCCAGCATTCTCAGCCAGCAGCCACCCAACTCTGCGGAGCATGACAGCACTGAGATGCTGCAGGGTCCTCTGCAAAAAACAAAAAATCCAAAGCGCTAATTACAAAGTTACACCCTGTGCTTAGCAACTGAACTTGGGTGGCAGAGCCCTGCCCACCCAGGAACTGTATCACCCCAGGATGACAGCACAGCCAGGGCCAGGCTGTGCAGCAGGGATCCCCAGAAGCCAGCCTGCTCATTAAGAACTCATCCACAGCAGGAAAACACCTGGAAAACTTTGCTCTGCACATCAGGAAACAACAACAACAACAAAATATCCAAAGCCAGAAAAGCCAGTATGGGGAGCAGGGAATATTTACAGTGGGGGAGGTTTGCAGGCTGCACATTATGAATGTGCCTGGGTATGTTATGCACCTTCCATGCGAGCATGCGTCACTGCAGGGCTTTCTGTGGGTGTGCATTTGTTTGGTTGGATTTACTCTGTCCTTGTCTCTGCGTGCATAGCTGCACAAGTAATGAATGCGCCTATTAAAGCGCAGCCAGAACATTTGTTTCTGAGGCTGGTGGAGAGGAGTCCTCACACCAGCAATGTGCTGCGTTTCTTTTCGTTTGCTCAGAATGCTTTGCACGCTCGGTTCAGTGTTCTTCCGAGGCAAATGCACTGGGTTGATTTCTAAGGCAACTCTTAATTACATATACCTGGCAATGGTCTCGATGTGAACACCTGAAGCAGATTTGAAGGCACAGATTTGCTGCACAGGACCATGGCTCCCCACATCCTCCATGTGGTTGTGGTGCACAGGACATCGTTCTGGATTAAACACGAATGAGATTTCAGTCTCATCAGAAAAACACCCAATATCAATTACAGTGAGTGCTCAATGAGGAGCCCAACACAGCCTTTATCATAACTCTTTCGCATTAGCGAGGCTGTTAAAACAGAGCTTAGAGAAGTTCAGAGTGAGCTTTCAGCACTGGACATTTCCTGACTCCTGGACCTTTGATTTTCTTTTCTCATCATTACATTAACACTTTTGTTATGGAATATTTATGATGCACACCACATGCTTAATGGATTTCCTCCTTTATTCGCAGCTAAGCTGCATTAATACAATACTCACACTATTCAATTTGAAATCCATCAAGGATTCATGGGCTTAATATCACCATCACTTTTAATGAGAAAGGAAATCTGTAAATCAAACGAGCCAAAGCGAAGGCTGAGAGGAAGCAGCAATAGCAGTTCAACAGTACCCTTCATATTAAAAGCACCTGGAAGCAAACTCTGTTAACTGGATCAGTTTTAAAGCAGTGAATTACTAAGAAGCTCAGTCCTAAATCGTGGCTGTGGCTTCTAGAACAGATGCCATCACATCACTATGTGTTCCACTCCCTGTTTTCCTGTGCTGTAATGTGCAGGTACATGAGCAAGGTGATAGGAAAGATGGATTAGAGCTGAACATAGGACTCAGTGGTATCACCACTGCTCCTATTTATTTATTCTCATGGGAGGAAGAAATCAGCTGAAGACCAGGCATGCACTGGTGTGTTTGTTTAGCTCTCATTTGCTGGCATGAACTCCTTGGCCTTGCACTGTTGGCACAATCAGATGCAGATGAGCACTCACCATTCCTCATCAACCCTGTCATCTATAGTTTCTCCAAGCAAACTTTCTCCAAGCACACACACAGCATTAGCAGTTGTGTCACTGGGAGCAGTGCAGCAAAGGAACAGTGACCAGTGTGATCGACAGCTGTTGTTGCTGACTGCCATGATTTCCTGGACTTTTCTGATATGTTTGTCACAATAAAACAGCAATATTGATAAGGAAAGAATGAATTCCTTTCTCCTACCTTTCCACACAAGCAGGAGCTAACCCTGAGGATTAACAGATGTAACAGATGCTCCTACTGAGGCCGCCACGATCCCCTACAGCCCAGTCCAATTGCACCAAGTCCTAGCCCAACATTTAGCCCCATTCAGCTGCAAGACATGCCCAGAAAATAAATATAACAGTGCAAAGACGTGTCAATGCTTTGCAGGCTCAAGAGAGATAACTATCAGTGGATGATACTTTTATGAAAGCACTCTGGGAGCCTTTAAGGCCAGACCTCCCCATTGGATCTACATTAGTGCATTTCAGCTCCCCACGTTGTCGGATTTGAGCTCCTTGTATTTCTTTATTGTCAGGCTCTGTTTCAGCAGGAGGCCTCAGGAGGTGCCCAGCTTTGAAGATAATGGGGCAATCACACATTTGAAGTCTTTCCCCCCGTTGGTAAGAGAGGTCCTTGTACTGAGTTTAAAGGAAGATCTGGCAATATTTCTATTCATCATCGTGCAAAGGGCAGAAGTTACAGATTTAAGAGTGGAAGGTGATTTCCCCTTCTGCTCTCAGCAACGAGGAGCAGTGCCGCAGGCTTTCAAGCAGCTTTGCTGACAAGGTTAAAACCGTCAGAAATGTACTGTGAATGTATTGAAACAGAGCTGCTTTTGCTCATATGCATCCGATTTCTACCAAGAGGTTGGGTAAGGAAAAAAGCGATCAATAATGTGAGTTTGTAACCAGTGGCAGAGTCACCAGATGGGAGGCAGAAGAAATTTGGATGCGGGCTCATTTGCTGTTTGCTAAGCATTTGACTTCCAATGAAACAAATGCAGTCAATGAAGCAAAGCCAACCCGACAGTGCAGGAACCGAGCTGGGGGATGGCACATCGCTCCCAGTGTGCTCAGGGGAGAAATGGGGACAGCAGAGATGTCATGGGCTGGAGGGAAAATCTCTGGAGACAGCTCCACTTACCTCAGTGAATGCCAAGTGCACACCTGGTGAGATATAGGATGCAGTCAGCTCCAGGAGTGCTGCTCAGACAGGACTCACTGCCCAACATGGCTTCAATGAGGGACTTCCAGGTGTCTGCACATCACTGCTGAGCTGACATTATTGCAACTCGCTGCTGTTTGGCAGTGCAACACCAAAGGCATCAGTACCCAGAACCTGGCTGAGCCTGGGCTGAAATAAACCACAAAAAAACCCCAAGGAGTAAATCAGCACCTAAAAAGAAGCAACAAGAAATAAACAGATTAGTCAGCATTACAGAATTTCTGCTCAAAAGCAGAGAAGGCTGCTGTAAATGCAGACCTGTGGCAATGGAAAAGCCCTTAGGAAAGCTCAGGGGGTCAGGAGAATCACCTGGAATGAGTTCATAGCTCCATGAGGACAGCAGCTCACAGATCTGGGCATGTTCTGCTCAGCATTTTCATCTCATCGTTTAATCTATCCAAAAACACAACACTCTGAAGCAAGGTTAGGCTTTTTTTTTCTCCTGTCCTTTCAAAAATTGAACAAAGGTGGCAATGGAGACAGACGGACTCCAAGCTGAAAACACGGTGACTCATGACCTTTGGATGAACAAAACGCTGTAAGAAATAGCAGTATGGATCAACGTGGAGCACTTGCTGGTGGCTGAAGACAGATCTTCCCCCCAGCGTTTTCAGATGACTTTGTGATATGCATCTTTCCCTTCCTACTGTTTGCCTTACGCTTGGAAAAAAAAAAAATATGTTATCTCAAGAGTCCTTTGAACATTAAAATGTATGCCGTGCATGTGACTTCCCTCAAATATCTTAAAATATTCTAAATGTGAGGATGTTGGCGCGGTGCCTGGGATCCTGTCTTTTTGGATAAAAGTTTCAGATAACCGACACTTTCCATTACCATTTCTCCCTGAAGAGGTCATCTCCGATCCGGCTCCACTGCAGAGCAGGGAAGGTACCTGGGCTCCCAAGATTCACAAAAGGTGACAAAGCTGCACAGCTGCTAATGAAAGCCGCTGTGTGTGTGTCTGACCTAGTTCTGCCTCGCTTTACCTGGGTATCTTCAAGCCACTTAAAAATTAAAATGGTTAATAATGCATCAGAGCCAAGCGTTACCCAGGGGGAATCTCAGCTTCGCAAGTGAAAGGAAACACTGCAAGTCTTCTTCCCTGCCTTTATGCCAACCATGCACACACTTAACGTCAATTGATTGATATCCTGAACCTATTTAGGCTGATTTTTAAGAAGTGGTAAGTTAGCAAACATTCATTCACTAAAAGAGTACAGAGTGTTGCACTGACACAGCTGCCCAGGGGGCGGTGGGAGCACCGTCCTTGGAGATGCTCCAGAACTGTGGGGCTGTGGCACTGAGGGACGTGGTGATGGCACGGTGGGTTGGGCTTGAGGGTCTTAGAGGTATTTTCCAGCCTAAAAGATTCTATGGTTCTGTAACAAGTCACTTCTGCACACTGTACACCTCCCAAGGAAAACCCACGTGGATTTCCACAGATCCCTCTTACTGCCATCTCCTCCCTAGGTGTAGCTTCCCGGGCACCACAGGGCTCAGGAATTCTGTTGATGGCTGCTGCACCTTGCACTGACGTTAGAGGAAATATTTATTTGGGAAAGTTTCATTTTACCATAATTTTTACTTGACTGCCACTTAGTGGCAATTTAAAGTAATAGCTCAGGGAGGTTTCCTGGCAAACCCACAGCCCCACAAATGAACCTGGCTGTTGGTGGCTCTTCCCAGTGGTGTATGGTTACTATCTCAAGAATTCGGGTTTCATTCTGTTCTCTATCCACAGGTTGGGAAGCAGGTTATCAAATCCCATCTCCTGTACAAAGCATTGAAACATCAAAGCTGTTATGAAGGCAACTTCCAACTCAACTGTGCTCTTAGTTCGTTCAGAGGCTGCTGCTTTCCAGCAGGTAGGACTTCCAGAGGTTGGGATCAGATGGTCTGGAACAACACCAACGTGGGAATTACCACAACAGAGCAGAACACTAAAAAGCCAAGTGAGATTTTCACACTTCCCAGTGCCCAAAGCCTGACATCCTTGCCATGCAGCACCTTTCATTGCTCCAACTTCCATTTCTACCTCCATAATTGCACTGTCGAAAAAGATGTTCTTTTTTGGTATCCTGCACAGAGGTGGAAGACAGATGCTGAAATCACCACTTGCTGCAGCCTGCACATTGCAAAGGCCGTGCTGTGCATTCCTTTCTTTCCGTATTAATATACACATATTTTTAAACCAGCGTTGATAAATGTCAAGACAAGTTTCTTGGTGTGAAATAGAGGTACATCCTTGTAACCAGACCCTGAACTCAGGCAGGCATTTCTATGACCTGATTTAAATAAATTAATAAATACTAATACTCAAACCTCAGGGAAGCCCTCGGTTCACCTCTAACCCCAGCTCCTGTGGGGTTCTCTATCTCAGCTTGCCTGCAGCAGTCACGCCTGGGCCTGGCTGCTGCTGTATTTTGCCCTGCAAAAACAGCTTAAAATGCTTTAGAAGCACCATAGGCCATGAAAAGATGTGCTCCGGGTCCTGCTCTTGGCACACACAGGCACCACAGCAGCACCCCAAGACAGCAGATCCAGAAATAGGTCGGAAAAAGCCATTTCTTGCTGCACTGAATTTCTTTGTGATGAATTTTAATGGCACTTCAGATTAGTTCAGCTGCTGTGAGCGGTTTGCATCCCATCTCTACCTGCTCTGACACCAAGATGAAATGTTTACCTTTCATATGGCTGCGCTTTGTGCTGTGCTGTGGGAATCCAGCTTTTCAGAGCTTGAGCCTGACGAGGAATTTAGATCCTTTTTCATCTGCTTCATCAATTGTCTCCTCGAGGAAACATTTTGCCAACGCTGTGGATGATTTAAAGGCTCAGGAGCACATGCCAGGAGGTGGCCTGGAGTTCTCCATCTTGGGGATGTCCCCCTGCAAACACAAGGGATCTCAGGCAAGGTGACTTTGGGCTGACACCATTTCCATCTAGCAACAACCAGTGCTACAAGCACAGGATGCAAGAAAGAAGGAAAAGAGTCTGCAGCAGGATCTGTTGTGATAGGACAAGGGGAAACGGTTTCAAACTAAAAGAGGGGAGATTTAGTTTGCTTATAAGAAAGATGTTTGTATGATAAGGGTAGTGAGGCACTGGCACAGGTTGCCCAGAGAGGTATCCCGTCCCTTCAGACATCCAAGGTCAGGCTGGATGGGTTCTGAGTACCTGATGGAGCTGTGGGGTGTCCCCGTTCAGTGCAGGGAGTTGGACCAGATGACCTTCAAGGGTCCCTTCCAGTTCAGTCCATTCTATGATTCTATAATATAGGGCTGATGGTGGCAGGCTTCACAGCTTCCATAACTCTGATTTTGACTCATTTTCAACATATTTTACTCCCTTGGAACCATAAGAAGCACTCATATGGGGATGTCTGGCACAGACATGCCGACAGCTGTATGCAAGCAGGTAGAACCGCAGAATCATTAAGGCTGGAAAAGACCACCAAAATAACCAAGCCCAAAGCCAACCCACCCCCACCATGCCCATAGCCACATCCCTCAGTGCCACATCTCCACAATTCTGGAACACTTCCAGGGTTGGTGACCACCATCTCCCTGGGCAGCAGTGCCAGTGCAGCACTGCTGTTTGGGAGAAGAAACTTTTCCTTACACCCAACCCAAACCTTCCCTTGTGCAACTTGAGGCCATCTTGTCTCATCCTAGCGCTGTTACCTGGGAGGGAAGGCTGACCCCCACCTCATCACGACCTTGCGAGCTCATCACTAGCTTATCACAAGCTTGCACAAAACTGTGGACATCAATGAGGTCTCCCGTGAGCCTCCTTTTGTCCAGACTGACCCATCCCAGTTCCCTCAGCTACTCCCCATCAGACTGGTGCTCCAGACCCCTCACCTGGTGACTGCAATGCCTTGGCTGCTGATTACATGCAACTTCTCAGATCTAAGAAAACCCATCTGTATCAGGCAGCAGCAGGAGCAGGTAACATTTAGTTCACTTCTTGATAGAAAAGAGATGATGGTAACAATATGAAATCAACAAACCTAAATATACACAATAGAAATAAATCACATCAGTGGAATAAAACACAATAAATCTGCCAGTAGTACAGGTTTGAACTCAGACTGCTTAAGGCACAGCTGGTTATTGGGGGCTCTCTCAACCTGATGATCCTTTGCCTTCTCTAGGGGGATATTTCTAAGGAGGCCCTGGTGCCTTTTGCTTGCCCATAGGCAGTGAGGGGCAAAGGCCAAGGGGAGCCCCTGGGAATGCATTTGTAACGCACGTTTCATGCTCCCTATGCAAAGTTCAAGGCACTTTGTAGGTGGGAGAGATTCCCCTCACCAACACCCCCCAGCAATGGGCTCGGCAGGACAGCATTTTTCCCTTTCAGCCAATATTTTAGGGGAAATGGGATAAATGTGTTCCTTAAAAAGGGCAGCGTTAACATTCTGGCGCGCTCTCCTTGCCTCGCCCAGGGCAAGTAATTTTTTTGACAGGTGAATAAAATATCATTAGCTTCTCCACTGTCATCAATCATCAAAGTGAAGGATGGGCAAGTAACCTCTCCAGACAGTCCTGGGGACTGCATTACCCCCTGGTTTCTAAAGAAGCAGAGCTGGGAGGCTCCCATTCCATCTCAATGCACGGGAGGCAGACAGCTAAAACCTCTCCCCAACTCTGACTTTTTCCCCTTGACTGTTGGAAGCTGACAACGGCATAGAAATGTAGATTTCACGTCGCCCCTTCAGCCTTGCCCAGCCATTTGTGCCCAGGTAGCCCAAGAGCTCACAAGCTGCGCCGCGCGTTGAATCGCGGCGTTTCTGAGACCTCCGGAATAAGCGAAGGAGAGAGAATGACAAATCTGAAGCTTTTGTGCAGAGGTCACACACTTGATGCTTCTTTCGCATTTGTGTGAGTTAATTTACTTTAAAAAAAGGAAAAGAAAAAGAAAGAAAAAAAAAAAGAAGAAAAAAAAATCTTCACAACAAAGAAAAATGAACAGAAATCTGTCCCTG